TCCATGTATATCAGCTAGGAGTCCAGTGGTATAGCAGTATAAGATGGGATGCCTTCCAAATAAGTTCAGGCACATCTTTTGCTGCACCTAGAAATAGGAAATCATTTATCCTAATAGAAGCATTTAGATTTCCAGTATAGTCAATAGAGTGGCAGGGGCCTCTGGAGATCTCCAGAGAGAGATTTGATCTGCCTAATTTAGACAGACAGGCAGACATAGGGGTATGGCAGGATTTCCTAAAATTAGGAAGTCTTTATTTCACCTGTACATACGAGCTCCAAGTAATGTCTATTATTTTCAAAAGCAGTATCTTTTTGAGACTGTCTTCTGGAAGAAGAAATACATTGAAATGACCAAGGTCTAATCATCTGTAATCACAGCACCAAAATATCATACTTACTTCATAACCTCAGTATTTGCACTTGCAGGAAAGACGAATGAATTGCGTTTTTAAATTATAAGGGGAGAAAGAAAAATAATTACCATTATTATTGCTGCCATATGCAACTGACTTTGCTTATCATGATTGCCTATTACAGTCGTAGTTGCAGATTGCAGTACGTAAGAGACTATGCACTGAACCCATTATTTGCCTGCTGTGAAGATAAATGAATGAAGAAGAGCCCATCATTTAAAACTCTCCAAAACACTAGTCTGTACAAGTAAGGATTTTTACAAAAGAAGGTGCCTTTGTCAAGCCATTTTCAGCACTGACTGGTTCAGCAGAGTTCATGTTAGTTCCTCTAATTGCACTTTGTTGCTGTGAATATGAACCTGTGGAGTCCAGAGCACAGGTTATAGCAGTCAGGGTCCGATGGAATCAAAAAGTTCTATTGATTTTTGGTAAATCCACTATTTACAGAAAAAGAAGGAGGATTTCTGTGAGCCCCTCACAAAGAAGTACCCAGAAACCACAGCCTGCTGGGAAGAGAGACTCTCCCTTATGCAACAGGTTTGGTTTCAGTGGTTTAAAGTTTTTAATAGAATAGAACCTAGAAAACAGAGTATGTTTAAGCACTGTATGTTTACATCTTTTAAAGACAATTCTTTGCTTGGGATTTTTATGCGCTTCTATACCTACCTTGCAAGAAAAGAGGAGATAATAGAGGACATCTGTTCTTTTCTGCATGCAGGGCAGAATGCTCCTTGATCTGTTTTCTTATGTACATATTAAAGATGAGCAGGAAGGGATCTTTAAGATATCTGTTCTTTTTTTGCTACTTCATAATATTTAGTCATTTGTACAATAAGTATGTACAGTCTGATTTTCTGAGAGCTCACTGGGCCCTCCCTTAAATGGGCTTTCCCTTTACATCTCACAATATTCACTTCCTTCTTGCCCTCATTCTGGGATTCTTGAAAGTAAGAGGGGAAATTTAGTGTAATTGGTGAGAAAAGGGGTCATCTGCTTTGATGACAAAGAAGAAAGAAGGTTTCAGAAAACAATGAAGCTTTCTAACAGAGTTTTTCTACCCTGGATTTACTAGAGAGAATTACTTTTTCTGGTCTGGAAGGACAAAATGTAATCAGGATATATTTCTCAATCTGACTTAAATTATGTATTCTAAATGCAAAACTGGTGATCCTCTTCAAATTAGTCCTTCTATAGTTTAATCATCTTTTTTTTTTTTAAACATTAGAAAATAATATATAATCATAAAATTAGATTTTTTGTTTTAAGAGCTCCCCAAATGTTTGTATGTATCTTCACTAGTTCCTGGCTGTCTGAACTGTACCTAAGATCTCTTAAATAAAAACAGTCATTTCAGAGAAATTAAAAGCCAACCAACCAAAAAAAAATCCTAAGTACTTCAGCCCAGCCCAGATACCAGCAAAAGCAAAAGGCTTCATTTTCAAGTAGACTTCAAGTTTGTTTATGGTTTGATGATCATGTGGTCCAACATAGCCGTTGAAAAAGCAGAAGGTAGCATTATAAGAAGATCCAGTGTATATGCTAAATATTTCTCCTTAGAAAATGATACATGTCTAGCTTGTGTGTTCAAACTGACAACCTCTTGGAAAGGGCTCAGAAACATGACACAAGGGTGAAATCCTTCAGACCAGACACCTAACTGCAAGTGTCTACAATGTAGATGCCAACATGTGGGCAATGTACTGAAACTCCTTTTATATCGTGCAAGACTAAAGAACTACTGTTCTTCTTATCCTGAAGCATACATTTACATATGGCCAAATGAACAGCTCTCTAAGGTCCATGACTAGATCTATATGTAAGGGAAGCTTAAACACCTAAATGCAGGTGTCTGATTAAAGAACTGAACTCCACCTCTGCTGCAAACAAATGACACAGGTTATCATGGATAAGTTACATTTCAGTGCATTTCACCATTTTCACTGTGAGAAGTACCAGAAGCAAAGCTTCTGATTTTTCATCTTGTATTGATATTTACAAAGTGGTAGAGACTATTCAGTCCTGAAGGCCTTGGTACCATGACAGGCTGTACAAGCAATAGAAAATCAACCTATACTTACCACTGATACACAGAGCTCTGACTGTGGCTGAGAAGGAAGGACCATATCCTAACATGACATCATGAGATGGAGAGAAATGCTACTTCAATATCCTGCATCTTGAAATGTTTAAAAGCTGATGTGAAAAGTCATATAAACCTGAATTACCACTCGTTTCCTTTCTCCTAATACAGAAAGCAAATGGCTACATAGAAAACACAACTAAATAACAAAAATGTACTTGTTTAGCAAGCAAGGTTACAGCAACATGGAATTTATATAAAAATATACATAATTGCCTACACAAATAGCAAGTTATATATCACCCTGCCAATCTGTGTCACCTTAAAGCTAAATTAAAGCATATAAACTTTTACAGATTTCAGGAATGATTAGTTCTGAAAAACAGGACAATTTTTTTTTTTTTCTACTAAATTAGCTATTTAAACATTTGCAGTGCAGTAATACTGCAATATTACGGTAATAGAGTGCTGGACTTAAGTATGACTCTGTCTATCTCAGAGGCAGCACCAAAATCCATTAAGATCCCCTTATTTAATCTGTCCATCATAAGCTTAATATGTGATTCATTCTTTTCATATCACAAAGGACAAAAAGGTGATCTTTTGTATTTAAATCTCTAATTTACACTCCCCATCCTCCTTTCCCAAGCAGTAAATGATAGAGAAGAAAGCTTTTTCTGCAGTTTCTCCAGCCCTTTTATCTGAGGAAAAGCAGTCGTATGTTGGGTCTCTAAGGAATTTGATGCTCTCTTTATCCCCTGACCCTATTTCCATACTCAGAGCTGCAAGAAAGGAAACTATCCCATAGAAAGATAACATATTTGGAGGTTAGTTAGACTTGCAGTATGTAAATTATATGTCCTTCTCCCCAAGACCCACTCTAGCCTTTTGGGACAAGGGCAAATAAGCTCTCAAAATGAAATGTCTTATAATGGAATTGCTCTATTCCACTCTTTTAGATCCTCACTCAAGGAGGAAACAACACAACTCCTAGTCTCTAGAGGAAAACAACACAATAAACTATACAGTGCAGATTTAATATCAAAGAAGAAGGGTATTCCTGATAGATGAAAGACCTTGAGACTTACCCAGTAAGATTGCAATGTTTTTCTTTGCACAGTAATTTGTAGTTCTTAATTAAGTCATAGCATGTCTTCGGAGGGAAAATTGTATTCATTTTCTCACCATTGCAGTCACCATTTTAATAAAGAAAGAAAGACAAAAGCATGCTGAACCTGGAGGGCTACAAAAGATATTTCTTTTAAGGAGGAAGGAATAATGATTGCCTTTGAGCTTCAATCTGGATGCCACTTCTCCCAGAAAACAACCCTATTGATGGAAAAGAAATTTTTCTGTTTTTTTCTATTTCACCACTCTTTGTTTTGTTGTCAGAGAAGAGTTATTTTTCACAAATAGAGAAATAAGAACCAAGAGAGTTTATCATGAAGGTATCAGTAATGTTAGAATGGCTTGCCTATTTCAACTCCAGAAACCATTTGGGAAACTGTATTTAAAAGCTACCAAGAAGATAGAAAAACAAAATTAAAGCAATTCCTTAGATGAAACTAAATGCAATAGGCAAGGAAGAGTCACCTAGTATCTCTAATTCTCATGTTTGGGGAATGAGGTAGAGAAGGGGAGTGGAGACCATAAAGGTGCCAAGCTTGCATGCCAGCCCTAGGTAGCCTCTCCTTTTACCAGTGCAGATGAGAGGACACTGGGTTAGATGGGTCACTGACAAGAAATGCCGGTAGAACATTTCTTATCACTGAGTCTTCAGATCGGAGTGGAAACTTATATTTTTAAACTGAAATACAGACTTGTCAGCACAATAACTTGGTTTCAGTAGAATCAGGTTTTTGTCCTGTAGTTCTGTCTATCTGTGCATATAGATACAGCACGTAACAAAAGAAAATTGTAATCCTTTAAACATGTTTTAATATGATTGTGCAGAACATATTGGAATTGAATGCCTTGTAAGCCTTAAATTTAGTAACTCACAGATATGTACATCAGGTAATGAACACCAACTCCTTTGGCAAGCATGTTATTCTTGTTCAAACTTCCCAGTTTTTCTATCTGGCATCTAAATTTAAAACCTCGCAGCAAGACTAGTTAAGAAAGAACCTAGATTTAGTAAAGAGGGAAGAGGGAAATTATGTTTTATTGTTTTTTTAAACATATGTACCCAGTTAATATCCCTAAATTATACTGTTTGAGCTTCTGTACATTTACTGCAATGCCGACCTGTGGTACTCATAGGTACAAATGGCCCAGCTGCCAGAGTCTTACTTCCTACACTCATCTACCATACGCAAACCTTTTAACTAAATCATTTTTAATAATTGAAGTGAGACCTCTGTAGCGAGAGTAAGTAGTATTTCGGTGTTGACGTGCACTGAGCAGTAATTTGAATTAGCAATTAACCTTTAATGTACAGTAAATTCTTTCACTACTAGAGTGGTCTTTAGTACTATACTATATCTATAGGTAAAAGCAGCTTACCTGAATAACGTGTTTCAGCTTGTCAATAATTTGACTTATTACAGGATCTGTTCCCTTCACTTTTACTTCTGGATTTGCAGACTGAGCTCTGATTCCACTGCCAACCACACGATGAGTATAGCTAGTTTAACACACAAACACACACACAAAAATGTTTTAGTAAGTTATTCTACTCTCTGAGAGTCATCTTCTAGTTCGTATTAACTCTCATGGCACCAACATTCCACTTTAACCAGATGCATTAATTTTGTGCACATATTTTTCACAGAAAAGAAATACAGCATAATATAATTACTACATTCCACAAAGTTGTATTATTTATTATAGCTTTAATTTTACTACAAGCTTTAACAAGAAAAGAGTTATCTACATTTTGAAGCAAGAAACATTCAGCCCTATGCATGTTTTTTTGTGTGTGCAAAGACTGTCCTCCATTTTGGTTTTGCTAAATACACATATTTTTCACAGAAAAGAAATACAGCATAATATAATTACTACATTCCACAAAGTTGTATTATTTATTATAGCTTTAATTTTACTACAAGCTTTAACAAGAAAAGAGTTATCTACATTTTGAAGCAAGAAACATTCAGCCCTATGCATGTTTTTTTGTGTGTGCAAAGACTGTCCTCCATTTTGGTTTTGCTAAATACAAACTACACGGTGATTGCCTAAATGCATGACATTTCAGGTTTTTAAAACAAACTCCAGATTCTACACACACTGTATGTTCAGAACGACACCTGAAGTTTCCTAGTGTTTTTGTGAATGCACATGCAGATAGAATATTTATTGCAGGACAACAGCCAAATTGTGCATAAATTATTTAGCATTACATAACTGATATAAGTACAGAGTAGGCCAAAATTTACTTAATAGATATGTAAAAAACAAGCAACAGAAACCAGATATATGCTCATTCAAGAAAGAACTGCTATAGGAAGTAGAACATTGTTTCTAACATATCAAAACTCAAAATACAGAGACTAAAATTAAGCATCTAGCAGAATTCTGTGGCTTATTAAGACGCAATTCTTCATTCAACTTTCCATGTTATATGCAATACTCGTTATGCGAGAAAAACTGAATATCTACCTTCTCATCACAGATACTGTACATTATGCAAATACCCTCTGTATATTAAGTTTTGCCTGCATACTCTACAAGAGGATAGCTCTATATATCTCTGTCTCAAAAATATTTTGCCAGCTGTTACGCTGTAAGAAAAGGAAAGGAAAGAATCCTATCAGGAATGGAGTAAAGAAATGCCTAATTCCTGCCTATTAAATTTGCATATGAGCATAGACAACACAACATACTCAAATTTTGCAGAATCTGTTTTATGAAAAACATTGCAGGTCCTCTTAGCTCTGTGGAAAACCTTCCATGTACGCTAAACAACGAACACTGTTCATTAAAGCAAGGTTGCCACATAACAATGATATTTTGTCTTTGATCTTTGCTTAAATATCACCTTAAGTGAGATTGAAGATATTCCTAAGGAACCGTACACAGACCCAGATACTATTTGTAAAATGACATTGGCCATGCTCATAGACATAAATTAACCCAGTCATACAAAATTACTCTAAGTTTTCCATAGGTCCCAGAGAGCACAATTTGCCTTCTATATGTGTGACAAAAGTTAGTAGCTCCTCTAGGCATTACAAGAAGATACTTTTTGGACTACAAGTTCCTCAGAATGCTTCAGAAATGTACTAATTCTGAGGCTTAGCAGAATTTTTCCCGACTTCTAAGGTTTTAAGAGCCAGCAGTCTTTCATTGCTGAAGTCCTTTAAAACATTTGATTTCACGCAGTAAATACTAAAATTCTAGACCTTCTACATACAGCTCTGCATGTGTTATTTAGGGCAAATGTACTCTCTATTTCTTCTGCATGCAATCAAGTTCACTAGAAGCAGATATAATATCAAATTTAAATTCAATTATGTATCAAGATATCACAGCAATGATCACCTAGTCACAAGTTAAAGATTCCTGCTTTATTCATTCTTCATTTGAGAAAATAGTCAGCTGTATCCAATATCCAGGACACACTGTATCAGCTAAAGGTAAATACTAAAAATAATAAGCTCATTACTAAAAGCCATTATGGAACCCTTTACTGATTCACTAGCCATACTATTACTTGGAATAGATGTTAATGATGCACAGTCAGGACAGCAAGGCTTAATGTACTTAATGTAGTTCACTGGAACATGGTAATTGAAATAAGTTTAAAAAATCTTCATAGCACTGTTGAATACATTGAATATATGAATGGTTCATATTCTTCACAAAGTGGTATTTTGGTTTATAGCAGACAACTTTTTGTGCTGTCTTGTAGTGATGGGGCAATTTGCCAGCTTGTAGTGATGGGGTAAAGCTTTTTATAGGGGTATGTACAAAACCTGCAGCTTGCCTGCTAGACTTGGGGGAGCATTTAACAGAGCAATTTGAGTAGGGTCAACAAATCTTCTGGTAGCTTCTAAGGATAAAGAAAAAACCCAAACCTAAAAACCTTCTCCAAAGTTTTCCTCAAAAATCCTTCTTTCACAGTCATTTGTCTAAATCAAAATAGATAATTCAATATGGAATTCCTTCCTTCCTTCCCCTTTCTGGCTGAACAATACTGCACTCACTGGATGGACAACTGGTTTAACTCAACACACTGGTTTAATGCAGCACAGCAATTTCTCTTCGTACTACAACACTATTAAAAAAATCTTAAAGGTTATGGCTATCCCTTCTATACAGTGCTCCCATTTTCTGTTTCACAGCATGCAAAACCTATGTTCTCACTTTCTGTCACTCAGAATTCTTCAACTGACACCTTTTTTCAAATGCTGCAAACCCAACTATTACACATTTGTCTGTGAACTGCATAAATATGTGAAAAAGAATGGCCTTTCTCTTTTTTTAATTCAATTGACAATACTTATTTCTCTAACCATGCAGGAAGAAATAAACCATACAGAAGTTGAGCCTTGCATAGGTTACAATTTTGTTAATGTAGCTCATCTGGCAATTATCTGGCAATGACTCATTCAAGGCTGGCCATCATTTCTTTTTCAGCTATTTCCACAACGAAATCTACACCCTTGCACAGCTGGTATTTACTGTAGGACTAATTCCTTTCTTTCACCTGAGGGAAAGTTGCTGGGAAAGTAATACTGTCTTGTGAGTGGATCAGATATTAGGAGTTTCAATCCTGTCCACCGACCTCTTTAGAACTGTCATCCTCTAAATTCCTCTTCAGCTGTGGTTCATAAGGAATAATTGGATTTACTTACCAGTAAAAAGTGTTAGCAATTAATTTGGTTTTCTCTCTCCCACTCCTAGTCATTCTGTTATAGTCATTCTTTTCATATTCTCTCAAAGGCAAAATACCTGGAGGAGCTCTATTATCTAATATTAAAAATTCTTTCTAGGCAATTATTGATTCTCCTTTCTCACATAAAAAATATACCCTTTTTCTGATTTACACATTTTCAACATTGTCAACCCTGTGTGGCCCAATGGCTCTTTGCCATTTTGGGTTGGAAGTTTCAAATTATCCCAGAAACATGTCCAAAATCCATTTAAATGTTCTCTCAGTTCTCATGATTAAGGCAATTCCTATACAGAATTCAGATATTCTTACCCAGTAACACTGCCTGTAGCAAATCTCACTTAACTTTCACCTCTTCTGCCCACTTTGGTGAGAAAAAGCATCTCTGCACAGAAAGCAGATGTACAGTATGAGTGGGCATGCTCTAGTCTGGGAATATCCCTGTCCATTCTTCTGCCTGCCCTCGCAGCTTTGTAAAGAAACTGAAAATTTGGTAAGCATTTTCTTCTTTTACAGTCACTACCAGTCTACTTTTCCTTCCTTTCAGGAAGCAAATCCACTCAGTCACTTACCTGTCAAAGAACCTACTCACATTAGTTACCCAAATCACATCCATGCTGAGTGCTCAGAGGTGGGGTTTGCTTTTTCCAGTTGAGAGTGAGGAAGGGTAAGAAGCTGAAGCAGAGGTGACGTGCATCAAAGCAATGACAAGCAGCACACTAGTGCTTGATAATACCACAACTTTAAGTCTATTAGCATTGAACAACTATTAGATCATTAGGTACTGGTAGTAATAACTTACATATTACTTCTCCTTACTTGCTCTGAGCTGTTTAGCATCTTTGTTTCTACCTTCTTTCTCATTCCTGACCTTTCTCCCACCCGCAGCTCGCGTGATCCTTTCCAGAGATGACAGAAGAAGTGAATTTGTGATTCCCCCTGCTTCCCAGGCCTGTGGGCCTCCTCACCCACCACAACAACGTTCCCAAGCAGAACAGAGCACCTCTCCACCTAAAACCTTCATATATGCACTGGCTGCCCCCAAAAGAGTTCAAACCCTGTTCTGTGACCACTGACACATTTCAGCCTATCCTCCTGATATTTTTGTCTGTTACAGGCCACAGCAGACCCCAAATAGCACACAAGATTACATCCATAGAGAAAGCTTTGGGTCCAGGATTGGTATAATCACTACTCATTTCAAAGGATTCTGGTTTATCCTCAGGTCTACTAGATGTTTACCGCATTCCCCAGCCTGACTCTTAAAGGAGTTGCTACTTCTCTCCCTCTCTCCAGAAATTCTTATGCTTTTGAAGTGCTGGGTTATTCAAGCTTTGTAAAGTTTTTACTTCTTCAAGAGTTTTTAATTTTATATTCAGGGAGAATCCAATCTTGAAATTGATCCTCCAGGTTCTGGATGCCAGTTTTCACCCAGGAACATGCCTTATAAAGCATCACATATGGAAAATAAAGAGGTAAATGACAAAAATTAAGGTTCATTGGGATGGAACAAAAAGAATGCAATCCCATTTGGAAGAATGGTTTTCCCAAAATGTACTGGGTTTGCGTGGCAAGGTTTTGGTAGCAGGGGGGCTACAGGGGTGGCTTCTGTGAGAAGCTGCTATAATCTTCCCCTATATCTGATAGAGCCAATGCCAGCTGGCTCCAAGATGGACCCGCCACTTGGCCAAAGCTGAGCCAATCAGTGATGGTGGTAGCACCTCTGCAATAACATATTTAAGAAGGAGAAATAACTGCTTTACAAGAGCAGCTGGGAGAGAGGAGTGAGA